TACTATGAATTAGAAATTAATTCAGCGAATTATCGCCAATCTCAATGATGCACTTATTTCAACAAATTAATTATAAAATGTCATACAATGGTAATTAATACGCAAAGGTCGCGTGGCACTGTCAGACGATTTCAAGAAATTGGTAAGTACTTTTTAGAGTACGATTGAGTTGAGTTCAACGTTAGGGTGTCGGAGGCATCCCGGGATGTCCTCTCTAGGTGTTAGGCTTTTTTGCACCCTGGCGTATGAGTGAGAACCGTGGAGAGATGTGTGTTGGTGTGAATGCATTTGCCTTCTTTTAAATATAGGGATAGGTAGGATAGGTAACTTAATTTATGGTATGTGTGATTTAAATATAAGTAGGTAGGGGCCGGGGTTGACTGTCGCTTTTCTCTTGGTCGGGTAGGCTCCCTTTCGTGGCGATGGTCAACTACCGGAACAATTCGAAGATTCGAGACAAAAGGTAGATCAACCGGAGAATGCCGGTTGCTTCTAGCTTCGACTTCGAGACTTCGAATTTGGCGTACTTGGGTTCGTCATTAGCATTTCGCGTTCGCGGTCGGAAGTCGGATAGGGTTCGAAACGATCGGCCCTGCTCAATTGCACTTAGCGAATCGATTAACAACTCCCAGTGAGTCGTTGGTCGTTTGCTAATGAGCAGGTTTAGGGTTACAGTATTGGCGGACCGCTGAAGAAAAGAAGTGGCTTTCGAGCCGAAGAGGCCCCGACAAACTGTCGCTCAAGAGGGCAACTACCAATGGCATTACATCCAAGGATGTGGTGCCATTATCTTATTACTTTGTCATTATCTTACTACTTTGTCATTGTGATCCCAATAAGTTGATAGGCGTTGGCACTTACCAACCAAAGAAATAATTCTATTCCTTTTTTTCTTCTCAGACCTTTTGACACTAGAAGGACCACGAAACTTAGAGTTGCTCACATATTAAATACTTAAATATTGTAAAAGAACAGTTTTTCAGTTTTTCAGTAATAGCAAGGAGAACTATAATCAATTCATCTTGTGAATTCTGGTACTACTAGTGTTAAAAGATATATTATGTGCAATTGCATGCTGCACATTTATATTACATTTTCACGTTATTTTATTACCCTTTTCAATATATAATGAGGTTTTTTTTTTCTTATGTATTGTATCAAGTGTTTTCATTTTATGGATCTTAAACAAATGCTTAAACTATTATTAATGTATAAAATATATATTGCCGAGTAAATTTTCGAGTAAATGATTCCAGAAAGGATAATTACATTAAAATCTGTTGGCAACAAAATAAATTTTCTGCTTTTGGCACTGACATCGCGTGTATATATTGTGACAAATATTAATCCACGTTAGATGTTTCTGTTTCAGGATGTCAAGGAAATCAGGTAGACAAATAACAGAAGAAGCTCGTCTTATGTAACATTTATGTGATAATTTTAATCGCCTTCGTCCTAGAATGTTAGAGGCAAGTCCACAAGCAGATTATCTTCATCAGCCCAAAGTGGAGGAGGCCTTTGTTTCCATGCATAACAACAATCTTGTTTGTTAGACCAAACATCGTCCAGATGTTTTCTTTTTCTACTTAATGTTATATACAAATATGGAACTGTGGAAAAGCCAGTACCGCAGCGTGCATGAAGACTAAACTTCCTCGCAATTGGGACTTATTTTATTCTTTCGGGGCCGTTAAACACGTGGAGCATATGCCCACCGGACCACTACGTAGAGTAGAAACTCATTGCTGCGTTCTCAAGACAAAAAGTCGCAGCAGTTAGTGCGAAATCACGGTGCATGCTGCTACGTCCATCCCTTCGCGGTGTGCCCTAACACACGTTCGTTTGCTGTTCCAACAATGGAACTGTGTATCCCTGGTCGTATGAGGGTACCGACATAAAAAAAAGACATATTAAGTTATGTCACCTGTGTCGGTATGCACGACAATACCATAGTAACCATTGTATTAGCATCTAATGCAGTGGGAGCTGCGGATATTGGAGTGCCTTGCGATTCACGGTGTAAATCACTGTAACTTCACTTGGACGTAGGAACGTATACCTTTGCCAATCTGTGGTGTGTGAGCGCTAAATGCAGGGAACGTATCAATACGTTTTACCCGCATGTACCTTTTTAACACCCCCAACGTAGTGGTTCTTGCGCGTTAGTCTTTAGTAATAACAATGTACCGATACTTTGTCGCCCCGAAAAAAAAAGATAAAGTGTGGGTACGTTAACAGTAGATTTCTTGAGGAAGTTGGGCGTTCACTGCTCCTTGCAACATTGACTTGGACGTGTTTCATATCTGTATCTTTATCTGGCTCTAAATTTATATTCGAGCCCAATGTTCACTAACTATATTTTTGCAAATATAAAGCTATATTCTTATTCATACTGTTGGAAACAAAGGTCTCAGANCATATCTGTATCTTTATCTGGCTCTAAATTTATATTCGAGCCCAATGTTCACTAACTATATTTCTGCTACCTTCTTATTCATACTATTGGAAACAAAGGTCTCAGAAGACATATTGTGGAAGATGGAGTCGACGTTGATGGCTTGTAGTTTTCGTAAGTATCTATTTTACTATATCATTAATATGTAGATGAATTCATTATTTCAATTCTGGATTTGTTTTATGGGATACATAGACTCCTCGTGTCTTTAAATATTAGGATAATGGAATTCATTTCGTTGACTCTGCTTTGAAATGGACCAAGTAATGAATTCATGTATTTTATTTTGGTTTACTAATTTATGTAACTATTCTTGAGCCGATTTTAATCGTTTTTGTTCTTGTATTTCAGATGCAAGTTTGCAAGACTATCGCCATTAGCTCAAAGAGGTGGAGGCCTTTGTTTCTATGCATGACAACAACAAGGTTGTTTGCTAGACCAAACAGCCTTTTTCTACTGTACATGGCTTTCTTGGACCCCTTCGATCCATATATATGTATATAGTTATATACAAATATGGAACAGTGGAAAAGCCAGTACCGCAGCGTGCATGAAGACTGAACTTCCTCGCAATTGGGACTTATTTTATTCTCTTGCGGCCGATAAACNTCCTCGCAATTGGGACTTATTTTATTCTCTTGCGGCCGATAAACACGTGGAGCATATGCCCACCGGACCATTACGTAGAATAGAAACTCATTGCTGCGTTCTCAAGACCAAAAAGTCGCAGCAGTTAGCGCGAGATCACGGTGCATGTTGCTACGTCCATCCCTTCGCGGTGTGCCCTAACACACGTTCGTTTGCTGTTCCAGAAATGGAACTGTGTAACCCTGGTCGTATGAGGGTACCGACATAAAAAAAAGACATATTAAGTTATGTCACCTGTGTCGGTATGCACGACAATTCCATAGTAACCATTGTATTAGCATCTAATGCAGTGGGAGCTGCGGATATTGGAGTGCCTTGCGATTCACGGTGTAAATCACTGTAACTTCACTTGGACGTAGAAACGTATTCCTTTGCCAATCTGTGGTGTGTGAGCGCTAAATGCAGGGAACGTATCAATGCGTTTTACCCGCATGTACCTTTTTAACACCCCCAACGTAATGGTTCTAGCGCGTTAGTCTTTAGTAATAACAATGTACCGATACTTTGTCGCTCCGAAAAAAAAGATAAAGTGTGGGTACGTTGACAGTAGATTTCTTGAGGAAATTGGGTGCTTACTGCTCCTTGCAACATTGACTTGGACGTGTTTCGTATCTGTATCTTTATCTGTTTCTAAATTTGTATTCGAGCCCAATGTCTAGTAACTTATATTTTCACAAGTACATATTGGGCTCTTTTCTCATTCGTATTGTTGGAAACAAAGGCCTCACAGGACAAACACGGAAAGGGAAACGGATCGTGGAAAATGGGATTCTCGCTGTTGGCTTTTAGTTTTCGTAAGTATTCATCTTATTTTACTATTAATAGATGAATTTATTATTTCATTTATGGATTTGTGATATCGGACATCTAGACTCTTTGAGTATTTGAAGATTGGTATAGTGGTATTAAAATATATTAAAATATTATTGGTATAATTTTGTTGTGTCTGTTTTGGAATCGTCCAAACAATGAATTCACGTATTTCGTTCTGCTTTAGTACTTTATGTGACCATTTTATGTGCCGATTTTAATCTCCTTTGTTCTTGTATTTCAGTGGCAGGACCACAAGCAGATTATCTTCATTAGCTCAAAGTGGAGGAGGCTTTTGTTTCCATTCATGACAAGAAGGTTATTTTAACTGGTCTGCTTCTGTTTTCTGAATCCAAAGGATGTGTATCACTGGAAGGACTGAAGTTGGCTAATTCCTCAAATTAGGATCTTACACAGATTTGATTATAATCACATACAATTTTTTGCTTTTTTCTTTTTACTAATCTCCGTTTTCCATTTTAGACGTATATGTGGACTTGGACTGAAGACTGGACCTCGAATAAGACTTCGAATTGGATATTTAGATAGGAAATTATTATATAAAATTATTATCCCAATTTATATATAAGCGAGAGCTCTCGAATTCGAAAATTTTCTTTGTATCGTATTTTTGCTATTTTCAATATTTTTCTATTAATTTAAGTCTCAAGAAAGTAGATCAAGAAGAACCTGGGGCCCTAGGTTATTACTTTAAAGTTATTGTTAAGATTTTTGTAGATCGATGTAAAAAGGAACTCCGATGAATCTTGCATTATGGTAATAGAATATTGAATTCATCTGGATTCCTTTGGGTCTCTTGCAGCCAACCTCCACGTGGTGAGACCCGGGCAATCGGTATTATCCACGATCATTAAAATATTGTAAATCGAGGATCATAGCGAGCAAATGGCTACATGATTGGAATCGCTAATGGGGGCTGTCTTCATATTTCACTCCACACGCTTTTAAGACAGCACCATTTTAAACATAAAAAATGTGCATGCAAATATTTTCAAAATAATTTCGCTCTGTTCGAATTGTCTGCGCGACCAATATTTCCGCGAATAGATTATCGTCTGCTACATACCTGTCGAAGGTAAGGCTGTCCTGTCGGTAATCGCAGCCATTGCATCCGCTGCACCTCGATGATAACTCGGTCTCGGGGTCGGTATCGTAGGAACGATCGTTATCTTTCCGGTGTTCCGCCACGATGCTCCATGTTCGATGGATCAGGTAAAACAGATAGAGCTGTTTGCCCCGTCGGCAAGGCTGGGATCTAGCATTCCCCATCCTGCCCACCAATTAAGCTTTCTAGATCTGGTCTTCCCAGACAACGCTTCGAAACAAGTCCCGTCCGCACAAACCGTTAATTGCCTCGCTAATTAGCCTCTGTCCACCGGCCGGTTCCACTCGGGGGTTAAAATTCGTTGCACTCGGATAGCTTCGGTAGCTCCGTTTTATATCATATTTCCCACTCTCGAGATAGTTTCGACCGATTAAAAAAAACGGCGATAATTTGTATCGTTCAGACGGCACTCGCAATCTCGTTTCCACCGCGAAATCTCTTTATCGTCCAGATATCTCGCTCGATACGCCCACATTCCTAGGACAATGAGGAATTTTTCTCGCGCGATGTCTCACCGATATCGCCGTATCTCCGGCATTGTCTTTGCCCCGCGATTGTCTTTAAGGCTTGCGTAATTACGGGGCCGCGGCTTAGGCACGTCCCGAACGGAACGAGCGTTTATTATAAAATAGCCGGGAGAGCCGGGGGCTGCAACCGCTTCCTCGAGTGGCGAAAGGATTAAAACCGAGCGAGCCTTTACGACGCGACTTTATTAAGATATCGCGGCGTACGCAGATTCATAAATTGTCCTTAAGGCCTTCACGTGGGTTCGTTTTATCGTCCGCGTTGCCGTTCTACGACTCTCGCGGCGGAGTCGTTTATTTTCTAGCTGCCGGCACCGAGATCGTATTTTTCTCTGGTATACGCATTTAACGCGAGCACAACCGACAGCCGAGCGCGCACTTTTCCCGCGGGTGCACCAAGATTTTTCGAGGCGATTAGAATCGAGTTAGGGGATTCTTTTCCGGAATGGAGGCTCTCCTCTCTCTCTCTCTCTCTCTCTCTCTCTCTCTCTCTCTCTCTCTCTCTCGCTCTTTTTCTCCGCGTCGCTGTTATTCGCGTGTCGCGTCTCTCTTCATCGCGCGGCTTCGTCGATGTCGTTAGCGTCGGTGTCGCCGGTGTCCTGAGAATTCCCACACTCGTTCCTCGTGTCCTGCGACCGTTCGCGCACTCGCATGGAAAAGAACGACCGCGTACGAAACGCTGCTGCGCGCATCCTGTCTTTCCGATGTCAGCGGCGGCTCCGACAGCGACAGCGATCCATTATGTCCTCGGACGCGAAAATTCTGTTCCCGTGGCACGGCTAACGGCTTCTCCGTCCCCCGAGAGACACTAATCGTTCGAACGATTCGTCTGCTTTCTCGGCCGGTGGCAAGTTGCGATTGCGAGAAGGTTGCGGCTCGCAGCAAACCCGCGGCAACTCGCGACGACGAATCGATTCGATTCGCTTCGGAGCGAGCACCGGTCGCGTCAGTCCCCGCCAGCGGCGAGCCACGCGCGAATTAGGATGGATCCGTGCGAACACTGCGAACGTTCAGGAAAAAAACTGAGCCAGACGCCGCATCGCGCCGCAGCTAGAAAACCCAGTGATCCACTGACACGTGAAAAATTCTTGAAACCGTTATTACGCTGCGTTACGAGAGCTCGCCTCTGTTCGCGCCGGACTGTTTTCCTCCCGTTTAAGGCAGTCGGTTTCTTGCGCCTTTCGTGGAACTGTTACGCGTTCCGCGGTCTCCCCGATTTTCACTTAAATTGCCGCCGATCATTCTATAATTCGCCGCGAGAAAATCACGATATTCCACGGTGGTACAATTTACGGCGAAGTTTCACAAGTTCCTGTAATCGACGGTCTCTCGATGTCGCGGATCCCTGTTATTTACAAACCGGAGTCCGTTGGTACCACGAAAGTCGAATGACACGCTCGGCACCCGTAAATAGCGTGTCCGCGCACAATATTTTCACGGTGCGGTTATCGCGAGAATGTTCGGCATCGTATATTACGGCGCTATAGAAACCGATCGTCGACAGTGGACTCTCGCGAAACCAGGTGAAATCTTGCGTCGATTTCGGAGCAATTAATCAGCTTCCTGGCTGGTTCGCCGGTCGCATTTCACTTTCTTCGAAGTATCTGTCACGCGTGAACGCTCGGACGCCGTGCACACAACACAGCCGCGGCAGCCGGAGAGAAGAGACACACAGGTACGCGAAATATGTATCGGGGAAACGGTCGCGTGACAGCGGCGACGCGGAGCGAACCGAGCCGAACCGAAGCGAATTTTCCTAAGATAACGCGGCCCTAAGCGCGAAATTCCTGCGTGCACACCGCGAACCCCTTGGGTGCATCGAAAGGTCGGCAAAAAACGCGTGTACGAGAGCCTCTCGAGGCATTCACCGGGCGGGTTTCAAGAACCGACTGCCAACTCGTGAATGCCCCGAGGTGCACGTGTGAGCATCGCCTCTCTCCCAGCCGAGACTCTTCTCCTCTAGATCTCGCCTCGCGGTTGGCTCCGAGACCCGTCCGAGAGCCGTCCGAGAGGATTCTGAGAGGATCCCCGAGACTCTGGGTCAAGCCACGACCTACGTCGTTCCCCCGGAATAGGTGTCCTATGAGCGGAGCACACCAAATACGAGAGAGGCCCGACCGCTCGATTAATTCAGTAGGTCAGGTTCGAGTGTCTGGATCCTGGACCGAACCTGTCCGGATGATCGATTCGCGAGCGGATCCTGTACTCGATAACGATCTATAACACCGTTCCACGGCTCTGCCGAACCGACTCCCGACGCCCGACGACCAACAACCACCGACGCGTACACACGCGAAAACCGAGAAATGGGTGTGTCCGGCACCGCCCACTAATCTAGAGATCCTATCATTGGTCTACGACTAAGGTCAATGCTTTTCTGCACCGGCGAAAAAATCTTTTGAAAAGTGCTTTTACTGTTCGTGCCGCAGAAGCCGAGTCACGATTCGAGCAACGTAATTGGTTCGCGTTCTTTCATCGGTTTTTCCTCCCGCATCGATGATTTTCGATGTTTCTCGGACCTCCAATTTTTTTGTTCGACCGCGAACTCCTCTCCGAGTTTCGGCTCCTCCCAGCCAACTTTTTCGCTTCGCCTATTCGTTACGGGTCCACTTGTTCGCATTCTCGTCTTATTAACTTCGTCCGCGGACTTTCTCTCATCATAAATTCTCGGGTTCTCCCGTAATTTTTGTAGCTCCTCCCATGAGCTGCCGGTTCGCGAGTGCAAACACTCGGCGCCGGTGATAGATGTTGAACGATAAATTATCTCATTTCGCCGGTGGTAATCTTCCCCGGACCGGGATCGCGCCGGTTGATTTTCATCGAACAAGACGTTTCCGACTGGAAGACGAGCTTTGTTGCATACCACTTATTTAAACGGGAAGTCGTTTCGATTTTACACGCGTCCCACGGTGCCGGATGAAGTTCTCTCCCCGATCCACGGACTCCGCCTGGATCGCCTCAGTCATCGAGGTAAAAGGTGAAATACCAGACAAGCCTTCTTCGTAAAACCTCATCCGTGGCATTAATAAGACGCCTCGCAAAATAGATACTTCCCTTCGCCTGTAATCTGCATCCTGCGCGCGCGAGCGAGCGAACCAGCGAGCTAGCAAAGCTAGCCAGCCAGCCAGCTAGCTAGCTAGCTTAGCTAGCGCGAGCACGCTCGAACACTGCGAGGCTGCGAGCGACCGAGCGGGTTGGGTTCGTTCGCTTTATTCGGATCTCGTTTAATAAGCGAGAAGCGATTATTCGAGGAGAAGCGAAGGCTCGAGCCGAGAGCTTTTCACCAGTGTGTACTCTCTTTTCATTCACTTTTTGCGCGTTCGCGCCGATTTTTCGCCGCGCGATACGAACTCCGTTAGGTCGGTTCACTCGTTTCACTGTGATTCCGTAATGAAAGGTAATCAAGTACCGCTGCCGCGGCGTGTAGGACTCGCAAGAAACCACGGTTTTCGTGCCTGAAAATGGGTCTGCCAGTTCTCTTGCGCACGTGAAGACCCGTTTAATCAGCGGACCAGGGAAAACCGAAGGGAAACGCTCTTTCCACCGCGATGCTATTTATTGTTACACTTTGTCGCCGGCTGCGCCGCGATAACCGACCGTGTCTCATCCATCATAGTTAGTCCCCTTTCACGGGGCCGGTGATGAGCCGCCGGTAATATACCGTTTAATCTGCGAATAATCCTCGTGACTTTTAACGAGTTAATCTTCCATCTTTCATCTTTCATCCTTCATCGTTCGGCCATTCTGTAAAGCTACCGAAAAGCTCGTTTTCCAATTCGGCGCTCAAAGGATCGAAACGCGCGCTGTTCTCCTTTGAAAGTAGTCAACCATTTTTGCTCCTACCGACGCGTTAATCAGTCACAGTCGAGGACAAATTCCTCTGCACATTGTACGGTGGCGATCGCGGCCAATAAAATTAACGTCATCGCTCAAATCGCGGGGAGACCTGCACAGCGCGCCACAGCCAGTCACACCGGTGGGGGTCATGTTTCGCGTCTGACCTATGACATAAACGAGCGTTAATAGCCTCTGTAAATTCTCTTGCTCGCACAGTGGGTTGTCTCTATGACGGGCACGAAAACGACATTCTTCTCCGAGTCTTGCCAACTTTGCTGGCTCGTTTCAATCAAGCGATCACACCCGAGTGAAATCGCGGATCGTAGGAAGTGGATCTTTTTTTCCCCGTTCAGATGCTCTCTTTCCCGCCTTTTTCGTTCGCTGTGGTTCTTTCTGATAATTATCGAACACTTTTTTCCTATCCCCGTACGCTCGTCAATTTGCAATAGAAAAATCATCGCTCGCTAAAAACTATTCCGACATCGAAATGCGAAACCTTTGACGAAGATTTATGTTGCTGCACGTGTTGCTTCTCACCTTCGGTTTCTCTAATGGGATACGTAATTGGCCTGTCTCTAATCATCTCCAGGATTTATGATTATTTTGAAGAAGCCACCGGGAATCGATTTAGTTCGTCGAGCCAGGTGTAAAGGTGAAAGCTCGGATTTAGATTAGCAAACGCGTTGCATCCGACCTCTTGAACCTCAAATGGGATATTATGATTGGTCGGTCTCTAGTATTGTTCAGGATTTACGATTATGTCGTAGGAGCTATCAGAATCGATGTGACTCGTCGAACCGCTTGTTAGCAAATTATGAAAGCTCGAACTTAGCTAATTGCTGCGTCACATTATAGTCGATATAATTGACCAACTACTATCAATTATCTAAAATACTGGTCGAGTCGCAGGAATCGCTTTAGTACGTCGAATCACGTGCAAGCGAATTATAAAAGCTCGAATTTAGGTCAGCAAGCGCGCGTTTCTTCCGTCTCCTTGAACAGGAAATATAATTAGCCTGCTTTTAGCAACGTTCTAAAATGCGCCGATGATTTCGAGGAAGCCGCGGGAACTGCATCGCTCGGTCGAATCACGTGCAGGCGAATTCTAATTTTTTTTTTACGGGAGGACGGCAACAGGTTTCGGATCGCGACGCGTCTAGGCTGCACAGGAGCTCGATTCCAACGTCGACAAATTAAAGGTCGAGTGCAACGAGTGCGCCGCGCGCGTTCGTAGGAATTGTGGGTCGACTCCTCGCACCGTGTTACCTCGGAAATCTTCTCAGCCAAAACGGATTAGGTGTACGCAGCGCCGAGAGATAAGTGATTGCACTCGTGCATCATACTCTCTCGGAAAGAAACCAAGGTTGCTTCCGGCTTCTTGCGCAACATCGGGAACAAGGAAACGGCTACGATACGTTGGCGCCCGATCGCCGAGTTAAATTCTTCCTAGTTTTAAGCCTCTCCCGAGCGATCGGAGATATCTTACAGAGAAATTCAGTTAGCCGAGTTTGTTTCCAAAGGCTGCCAGATCGCATCTCCATTTCGCACGAACGTTTTCCTTAACCGAGCGCGCGCGCGATTCCCGCGTTTCCTGAATTCCTTGCGCGGATAATAACAATTTATTGTCAAGGAGGATGATGGGCTGCTCCTGAAATTTTTCTCTCGCAATTAGAGATCTCGCTTCGGCGGCGGGGAACCGTCGAGTTTCTGCTACCACGGACGATAAAATCGCCGGGTTGCACTCGATCCCTCGGGAGAGGAAGAGGCTCGCCATTAAATAAGCAGCGAGATCGGTAATTTAACAAATTCGAATCGTGGCTGATCTGCGCCAACTACCTGGTGCGGTAATGCATAGTTGCTTTCGAAATGCTCGCTGCATCGCCGGTCGGCTGTGCCGGCCAACAAACGTCCAGCCGATCGTCTCCGGATCTTCTTGCGGACGTTGCCGATTTTTGCGAAGCGATTTACACTAAAACGCGCAGAAATCTTTTGTAGGATATTCCCGTACGAACGGTGCAAATTGCTGGAAGTGCGGAACATCGCACTCGAGCAACTTGCAAGCTGGACGTTCGATCGTCTTGGAAAAATAACGATTAGACGGAAAACGTTCTATTCTGGACTTTTACATATTGATAGCATGAAAGTTGCCGGTCTAACGATCACCCATAAAAACGAAACTCCGTTTAATTTCGATTTCTCGAAGCATGCCCATAAAACTCGAAATCTCCGTGGCGCATCTGCGGCAGTTAGCCGTCGAGCTAACGCGCGCGCACGGACGCGTCTCGATATCACCTCGCATTACAGTAACCTTTGCGTAATAGCGTAATGAATGAAAGCGCGATCCTTTCACGCGAGGCAGTGACCTTTCGATGGACGCGGAGGATCGCCGATCGATCCTCTCTCGATCCTCTCTCGATCGCCGGGCCTCGCGCGCGCGATGCGCGCGGTGCGGCCGCGTGAAAACGATGGGCTGCCGGCTGCCGCTGCCGGTTAATCCGAGGGTTAGGATGGATATCCGAGTGCCGCGATTCCACTGGGTCAGATTCACGCTTGACCTGGGCCGAACGGATACCTGCTGTAACCGTGTATCAGCGACGGCTAAGAATACCGGTGCTTCCGGATGCTTGCGCAACGCCCGGGAACCAGGAAGCAGCCGCAGAAGAAAAAGAAATGATAATTATTCGACTGTTGTTCGCAGCCGAAGAAATCGCGGCCGTTCGCCGATCGGTCGACCGTGGGCTGATTTAAGGGGCCGAACGATCCATCGAGTAAACCGCGATCCTGGATCGAGGCATTCGAGTTGCATTCTGATCATACTCTCGGAAAAACTCTGCTCTTCCTGCCTCGATTCTTGAAGTTGCACCGGTTCGATTCATATGCTGATCGTCTCGAAGATATTGTAACCTCGGGAACCCAGACACTTCTTCGGACTTGGAGTGTTCCCATTCTTCCGACGTTTCCATCTCCTCGCACGTGAATCGAAACATTTACTTCTTAGCGACAGCTTGATTTGAGAGAAATCGGAGGCAGATAGGCTCGACGCTACTCCGCTTTCGGTTAATTTATGGCAGGGTCGAGGGTTCGCGTAGCCACTCAAGGCATAGTTCCCGTCGACGGACAAATCCCAGACGATGGGTACTCGACGAGGCGCACACTCGTTGACATGTGTTTAGAAAGTTGGGCATCTTCGAGTATGGCAGGCGACACGATGTCGTACCGCTATCTGAAACGTGCATTTTCGTAAGAGGATCGATTGATCGCTCGTGTCAGCGCTTATCTCGGAGCCGTCGTCGAAGAAGTTACATTTCTATCCACACAAGATTTCTGACATAATAAATATTTCCGGCTGGAATCGAGTGCCAACCGTGGTTCGATTATATTCTTCTTCAAAAAAAGGTAACTTCGAGATGATCAACTTTCAAGATTCGATCGCGACGTTTCCTTTAAAATACGACTTCGAAAATATTCAAACGACATTGACACGATTGCGGATAAAATAGTTCAACGGCTCTGGCAGGGCCTTGTTCAACTTTCTATCTTTTTCCTAATTCGTGACTTGAGCCACGGTCACGAATTATTACCCTACCTCAAGACCTTTCCTCGACCGAGCATCCAGTTACGCTCGGTCCCGCATGCTCTGTAATTGTTCGATCATTTCGATGAATCGTTCTTGTTTTTTTAGACACTCGCGAGGAACGAGGCTTCGGAATCCAGTAATGGCAAGATAGATGGCTGAAGTTCCAACGGTCCTGTGCCCGTTCGAGTCTAGCCGATCGCTTTCGAAAACTGTTAGGCTCCCGTGTGCGGTTCTCCGGCCGATCACCGGCTCGTTTATGATGCTGCCGGCGCGATCGATCGCCTTTCACGTCGATCTTGTTCCCCCCTCCTCCTACTCCTCGATATCGGAACGACCGATTAAGGCGTTTCACGCGTGTTTCGTGCATTCCCAGAGCAGACTCTCGATGGAAACGCTCGCGATTATTACGAGTCGCGCGCGCGCGCGCACGCCGGGAATTCGAAGATTACAAGCTTCCCTTGCACCGGAAGAAGCTACGCTGGTCGGATAAAGGGAGAGCGAGGGAGAGGGAGCGACGTAGAGAGAAACGGAGAGGCCGCTCGGGCCGCATAAAAAGATATTGTTCTGAAATTACAGAGCTCGGAGCGGAGAGGTTCGGTTCGATAGGCGGTGTATGTGCTCCCTCGGCTATCGCCGAGCGGAGCGGAGCGGAATCTTACGTGAACCGGGGAGAAGCTCGGGTCCATGAGAAAAGCAGATGGTCGGATTCGTGGCAAAAGGAAAAAGTCGAGCGGCAGGGACGCGTAAACCGTGCGTAATACCTATAATACTCGTGTGACCGCGGTTTTCGCATCGAGATCTAACCCCCCGTGCCTACCGTGCGCGACGGGACCGTGGTTCTTGATTACGTAAGCCTTGCCGAGAAGAAAGATCGTCTACTAGAAAGCATGTCAATGTGGCAATCCGACTTTTTGCCTATCTTTTTCCGAGACCGGTGAACCGAGGCCCTGGGACTCGCGAAACTCGCTGAAATAATCGCATCTTCGTCGACCGCTGTTTCCAAGTACGCTGAAATCACCTGTTTCATTATACATAACTACCCGTTTTATTATACTCGGCTGTCTCGTTATGTTCGACTTGTCCCGTGGATACGTCGGAAAGACGGAGGTCAGAGTACCGTGAGAAGTAATTAGGGTTTAGCCTTGTATCGATTCCGATACCGATCGAAAGGCTCGATTGGAAAGAAAAAAAGAAAAAAAGAAAAGAAAAAGAGAACGAGTCTCGTTTCTCGTGTACTCCGCATCAACGTTGTCATTCCATTACCTCGAATTTTACGATCTACTCGCGCCGTCCTTCTCCATCGCAGGAAGCAAAGTTATTCTTTCGCCGTTTCTGCTCGTCTCATAACGGTTTAATAGAACGAAAACCATGCAATTAGAACACGCGCAATTACAATCATTGTACGATGCGGGCAACGAGGATTGTTGCGCGGTGATTCAATGCGGTCTCTCAAAAATTAACAATCAACGGAGTAGTCCGGCTCTTTCTTAATAAATTTTTCCACAACGATGGGAATCGTATTCGCCGAGCCGACGAGTTATTCGCCGGTAACATACTCTATTAATTTCCATTAGCATTTCGATTTAGTAGAGAATTATTCAGCCGCTTTCAGACGTAACGCAATCGTTTGCGAAACTTTGCTCCGGACGATCCCCGGCGCTCTTTCCGTTGTTCGTGTAATTACGACCGTTAACTAAGGGATGGTGTCGCGCTGGAAGCAACGAAACCCCGAGTTTACGAGAGCGGAGCAATTGCGCAACACGGGTCGAAGCAATTCCCAGTTTATCGGCGATACGTACTAGTTGTGTTTCTGGTCGAGGCGACGCGACGCGACGCGACGCGGCGAACGGACGGTGAACGGTTAACGTGTCGACCTTCGCCGAAGGCGACTAATTAGACAGAGTTAAAAAGTGGACGGACCAGGATCGTCGTTAAGTGGGACAAGGTGTCGCCCCGCATCACTCACCGACTGACCCATAAAAGCCGCGCGCGGCGCGCTCAAAATTCTATCAGAGATTTCCGTCTTCCGACAAATAAATGCGCGTCCTCGCGAGACGTGAAACCGACGGACTCGCAACGTTGAATGTTAATTCGGACACGCCGTTAACGCCGCGAACCTTCCTCGTGGTCCGGAATCGAGCGTGCGTTGAAACCACCGCTCCGACAAAAGTGGATCACCTCTCAACCTTCGCGTAAACAATCCAAGCCTCGATACCGGTTCGCGCGGCTTCCGTTCGGCGACAATCTCCCGCGCGAAAATTTCTGCACCGATCGCGTTCGTCATCTTTTCTCACCCGCCGATCGAGGCAAATCGTTTGTCGGTCGATTTTGGCTTTCTCGGAATTTTTATACGATTTATTAAACCGAAAACTTGTTCGTTCGATTGCTACGTCGCGAACTCCTCGTGGACGAGCATGTAATGTCTCTCTAATTGACGCTCAGATTGTGCAGAAAAATTGACAATTTGGGAAGAGGAGATACGATTATTCGAGCCTTGTTGCTCGTTTTCATTATTGTTGTAAATCGGTGAAAATCGGTGTTGTAAACGAGTCGCAAGGCTAGAATATTCATATCGGCTCTACCCAAATTGTCTATTTCTGTGGACAATCTGAGCGTCAATTAGAGAGACATTACTGTACTAAGAATATTTTCTCTTTAGAGAACGGACTCGACTGCCGCGAGACACCCACATTCGTTCGTTGAAACACCAAAGTTGATTTCTACGCTCATGGATAGAGCGCTTAGAATTTCGTTAGCACCTGCAAACTGCAAGTGCACAATGTTCAGTTTTACTTCACAAATTATTTGTTATCCAATAGTCTTGCACGTGTTCGATACGATTATAGATAATCAATGGATCTACATTGGTCCTCAAAGGATCTGTAATGATGCCTATAAGAACGATTCATCGATCTTCTTACGTTGGAATATCCTTGCATCGCGCGGAAATATATCACGGCATTGCTCTAATTGATTAATCAGAACGTTGCTTCTGGAAATTAATTGGACAGAGCTGTTCCATCAATTCGAATAGATTTTGTCTGCTCACACCGTGACAACGAAATCTGTTTGCGCCGATTCTCCACGCTTTTTACATCGTTCGAATAAGTTCGAACGCGAGGAAAAACCAGTCGACGCACTGTCCAGTTCCTGTTCCCATCAGTCCATTTTGAAAACCGTGCTCCAGCATATATAAACATCCTTAGCCTAATGACGGAATTAGCATACTACTCGAGCATTGCCCTCGATCGTTGGTTGTGTAATTTATTTTTCGTTAGCGTACACAGTCGGTTCTCCCGTACGGGCATTACCGCCGACTATCTCGCATTACCCGGTTAGGCCTTTGAAATGATGTAGAAAATCCTGCAGTTACTTTTCTCCGAGGAAAGTTGAATTCCTAGTCGTCGATCACCCGTTTCCTGTTACGCGACCGCTGGCGAGCTCGTCCCAAAAAGACACAGTCCGACGTCTCAATCGTTCGGCAGAATCACCGTGTTATTAGGTGCTAACTGTACCCGGGCCTTTTTGTTCGGCTTTGTCCGTCTCGCGGATATCTGGAAATTACTTACTCAAGCGCATTCCATCCGGCTATTTCGCCTTTATTCGCGGATCGGCGAGGCTGCCGCGCGTACGGGGCGAATTTATCAAAGAAAATTAATGTTATTAGTATCCGTGAAGCGTTCGAAATGGACGTGAAAGAAGGACGAACGCGCCGGTAGATGGATAACGCTGCGCCGCGGCGCGATTGAAAACGCTAGGCGGAGATCCCGGGGCAAACCTGGCCTATGGTGATAAAACACGTTTTCCCGATAAGTACCGACAGACGCAATTACGGTTATCTACAGTTAGGGTCACTAAAAAAGCGGCGCGCGGGTCTCGTCGGTCTAGTTCGCCACGAGAGATCGCCGCAACCGGCAGATCTCGATCCCTCGCAAAGGCGCGCATCCAGCATACACAATCATACGCGAGCGTACCACAAACGTTCGCGCCGGCCAGAGTTTGCCGCTGCCAGAGAGAGCCTACGCCCATCTATTACATACCGTTATATTATATCTATATGTATTATATATACATATGTGTACATATATATATAACGAGGAAACATATTTTGCCTACGCTTACGCCGATTCCCACCTAGTCGAGCTTTTCTTTTCCATTCATCGGAAATGTCCTCGGGCCTAGCACAGATTCGCGACCGGGGAACCCCATTGAAAGGTGTGCGTAAACCGTCGCCTGGTTTATAAAGTCATTATTACTTATCACGGCTCGTTATTACGGGCTTTCAAGATCCCGCCGTTTAATCGGCGCCACCTACTTTATCGACGCTTCGATTAATTGATCATTAAACGGATTCCAACGTAATAAGTTGGTCGAAGAGGAGCCGCTCTCACGGTGACGCTTACCTTTTTGTACCGCGTATCCTAACCGAACATCGTTCTTGCTTGCAGATTTTGATCGATGAGCTTCGAAGATTGAAGAGTGGAATGCGCAATTTGAACAGCAACATCTGTACAGTAGATGCTTTATGTATTGTAAGGATGTCGACAAGATTCTTTCTTGTTGGACAATTTATGGTACGGTTGGTAAACGACATCGTTATCGACCGAGGAAATTAACGGTATCTCGTTTCGCTGCGAGATGACTGCACCGGCGTTCAGAATCTGCACAACTTCGTTTGAATTTTAATTTTTAAGTGGACGCATGCTAATGAACTCATTTCTAATCGTACCAAATGATGACCTTCGGTTTAACAAAAATTTATTAAACCGAATTTCACATTTGGAACTCGGGTGCTTTTAATAAATAGATTGTGTATTTAATTTTATTAAATTGCATTCGTAAAACTGTAAATAATTTCACCGGCATGTGGTACAATTTAGAGTTTACTTTCAAATAATTTCTAAACTCGTGCGGATTCTTCGAAGTTTATCTCAAATTTTTATGCAATAAGTGCGGTATACGTACGTTCACAACTGTACGAAAAATTCACAAAATGGTGCAGAGAAGGCGAATTTACAAATCTCTAAGAAAGGAGAAAATGACAAACAGTGAGTAAGAAGGAATGGCTATGATCACGGTGGTGGAAATAGGGGGTAGTAAAGAAAGATGGTGGGTGCAAATCACACGGCACGAACGGTGAAGTTCTATTCGTCTCTGATAGAGTTCGCTGGTGCGCATCTCGAGTCGGGTCGATATTACAGCGCAAGGGACAAAAGATTCCGTTACGGTCGACGCTCTTTAGTGATCGCAAATTCAAGGCATAATGTTTCAGCTGACGGCTTGTATGTAGTCAAGATGGCTTCGGCGGAACAGGTCGGTCTGAACAAAACTTGGGAATTATCGTTGTACGAACTGCATCGTACGCCTCAAGATGCAATCACGGACAACACGGAGATTGCGGTCAGTCCACGAAGCCTGCACAGTGAACTCATGTGTCCAATTTGCCTGGACATGCTGAAAAAGACCATGACCACGAAGGAGTGTTTGCACCGATTCTGTTCCGATTGTATCATTACCGCACTTCGAAGTGGTAATAAGGTAGGTGATACCAATTAAACCACCTCGGCGTACAGGAATCTGTGTTCCCTCGCTCGTCAATGGTGCATAATTCGTACACAAACTTTCTCTTTCCGAGGTAAACACCAATCAGCGCCGAGCTGTTTGACACCAATGTTTCTTTTTTCCTTATTCGGCATTTTTTGCTTTCTGTCACTGTTTCGTCGATGCAGATCCGCGTAGAGATTGATGCTGCAATCGTTAATAGTTAACAGTGAAAGATTTAACGGTCGATCTTTCTCTAAAACGAAACGCGTATCCATCTGCGATTTTAGCGCGCTTTTTCGAAGTGCGGCGCAAATGCGTCGTTCGTTGTATCGTTGCGTAATTGTTATTTGTTTCTTCGTTGTTGAACGTTACGACGAACGTCGAGCAAAAAACGTGGAACTTATTTCCATTTTGATACCAAGAATAGCTTCACCTATTGTTGTGTTGCAATTTTTACAATTTTTGACACTTTAAATTGAATCTTCAACAATATTCCTAATTTGATCGGAAAGCAATACTTGCACTCCGTAGTCAATTTAGTCTGAGCTCAGCACCGCAACCTGTACTAATCCAAATATTGTTCGCAGGAATGTCCAACGTGCAGGAAGAAGTTAGTATCGAAAAGATCCTTGAGGCCAGACCCTAATTTCGATCTCCTGATCTCAAAGATATACCCTAGTCGTGACGAGTACGAGGCACACCAGGAAAGAGTGCTGGCCAAGCTGAACAAGTCCCATTCGCAAGCTGCCCTGGTCAATTCGATAACGGAAGGCATCAAATTGCAAAGTCAGAACCGGCCACAGAGGTCCAGGAAAAACGCCAACGAGTCTGAGAACGCCAGCAACGCGACGCCTTACAACAACTCTCAGAATGCCAGTGCGCCTGCCACTCCGAATGCAGCAAACTCTGCAAACCAAAGTGACTCGTCTCAGAGCGCGACCGGGCCTCTAAACAATAGTAGCGGCGGTAACTCTCAAAATTCCAACAGCGTCTCCCAACCTGCCAGTAGTCCTGCTGTTTCCGGTAACGTCGCTTAGCCGAGACTCGAACGACGGCGATCGAGCACGGTGGAACTGATCGTTTCTATGTTGCAGGAACGACGTCAAGGAATTCGACGACACCGTCGCCGAATCCGGCGAACCAGATCCCGAAGCCACCTAAACGACAGAAGAGTTTGCAAAACTCGGAGAACGATTCCTCCAGCGCAGAGGCTGAAACGGGTGGCGGCGATTCGATGGTGGACACCGAAGGCGAGGGACCGAGCGAACCTTTGATGCTCAACGAGATCGAGTTGGTTTTCAAACCCCATCCAACGGAGATGGCTGGGGACAACTCGCTGATCAAAGCTCTCAAAGAAAACAGCATTCGGTACATCAAGACCACCGCGAATGCGACAGGTAGCTACGCGATACGTTTGCTAGCCTTTTGCTATAGATTTAAGTGAATCTAAAGATTATTCTAGACTCGTACTAACGGTCGTCTTTGCAGTGGACCACCTGAGCAAGTACCTGGCGATGAGGCTGACCCTCGACCTGGACACAGAGTTATCCGAGTCGGACAGGCTACTGAACTTTTGTATTTACATAGCTCCTTCGCCGGGCCAGCTAGTTGTTCTAAGCGGATCGCAGACGTTGCGACAGGTGAACGATAAATTCTGGCGGGTCAATCGACCCCTGGAGATGTACTACTCGTGGAAGAAGACCTAGGGAAGGCCTCGAAAGTACCAGTCTGACGGGAGCTAGTCGCATCGGGCTTCGGCGAATCACGACAAGCATTCGTACTACGTTGTAGTACAGATAGCGAACGATGGAACACGTTTACTATATCACAAGAGGACCGATATATATGTATATTGTATATAATATATTATATATTATATATAATATGTTATATATTATATACGTTTTAATATTGTATAATATTATATTATATATTATATATTTTACTGTACATCAATAGCCTTGATTCTGTTCAAGGACGGGTAATCAGTGTACGAGGGACGCGCGGGCTCTCGTATGCCAACGACAGTGGTGCAATTTTTAATCTTCTTGGGACTGGTTGTTGCTACAGAGATCTGTCGGTACTTGGAATTAGGTCCTCGTTTAGGGGATTGAAGTTTCGTCGTCGATGTACACCTGGGGATATAACGGGGGAAAGAAAGAGTTTACAGAGAAATTGAAACATGTTGAAACTGCCATTCACACCAGACATTGCATTGCAAATCAATTTGCATTCGTGAAGGGAGAGAGATGCGTCGCCGAAAAAAAACCTTGTGTTACTCGACAGCGTGTAGTATTTATCCGGCCACGGCCCTCTTCCCGCAGGTATAAGTTAATCCGGTGCGCCCAGTTATACATATATTTCCACGAACCGATGGCCTCAATGGTTGAACTAACTTATTTAAGTAAGCTCCGACTCGCTGTGGACCATTCTGTATAGTTTCACGAAGAAATAAACCAATGTATATAACGAGACTAAGCCGGAGCTGTTCGTATAATCAATGGGGCTCTGCTACCTCTCTCGTCTTTTTATTTCCTTCCGAGCGGTTCGACGAGATTTATTGGCTCTCCCACCCCACTCCCGAAGGCTCCTCCACGCGGTTCGCTCTTTGATAGAAAAATCTAATTTTCGATCGCGGCAAAGATACACGGGAAGCGTCTTTGCCGCGGACGGCGAAATAATCGATAGGAGCCGGGAGACCAGACCCTATCCGGCGCCCTCTCGCATTTCCACTGAACCGAAAACAATGCGAACGCTCCAGCTCGGATAATGCCACCCCTCTTTTAGTAAACGGGAAACCACGTTAGAGCCCCATGCTTTCGCCACGCACGGCACGCCGTAGCACGTACGATCACCGGTTCCTTCGTGTCCCCGGTTATGGTTGTACGCCAACGTTTCGCTTTTAACATCCGCGTATTTGCATTTCTTTTCGTCTCGCGATTATCCTGAACGAAGCTCGACGAGCCGTCGTAGTCTGCAACGCGATATTTTTGAGCACGCGAATCCCGTTGCGATGTTTTAAACGGAGGGAAACCGAGCAGATTAGGGCAGATCCGAGATGAAAAGGGTCGGAGTCGTGGCAGGAAGCACAAAGAGTTTCCGGTTATCCTTGCTTATCCGGGTTGCGTCTTTTCGCGAGTTTTTCTTCCCCCTCGATTAATTAATGTATTCCAAAGCAGCGTTAGATTCACAGCAGTCTAGCAGTGCCTAATTACAGGCCGCGCAACTGGCGTAATAACCGGCGCTCCTAATTAGCGCTCGCAGTGAATCTTACACGGCGAATCTCTGTACCGCGGCGCGCCGGCCCGCGCTTGATAACGGCCGATCCATTAATAAGCATCGTGTTAATTGCCGTATTCTCTCGTCGGTAGGGAAAAAAAAGGAAAGGGAAAAATCGTGGTAACGAGCAACGCCGTTAAAAGTTCGAGCACCCGCCACCGGGATTCTCGATTTGGCTCTCTCAATTAGCTTGATTAAGTCGCTGGAAGATTCGTGTTATTACAATTTCTATTTAAAGCACGTTCCGTGCGGCGCGATACAATATCGTTAGACAGCTTGATCACGTGGCGTGAAACGTTATCTCGAGTCCGTGGAGGCGTCGTCGGTATCCTTCGCCTCCGTGCCGGAGCTCGAGCTCGTCAATAACTTCGCCGCCGACTCCTTCGATATGTCGCCAACCCCGAGATCCGGCGGGATCTCCTCTTCGTCGGTGATCTCCTCGCTGGATCCTTTCTCGGAGAATTCCTCGTCGAAAATGTCCCTGCCGCTCCTCGATGCCTGCTCGCCCTTCAGAAGTCTGCGGATCTCCTCCTGGCCGAGCCTGGAAATTCATCGTCCCATTAGGTTCATCCAGATATCCCCCCTTTCGGCACCTTTCATCCTGTTATCGGCGCCGACTGGGTCGCCGCGAGTTATTCTTCGTCCGATGGACAAGGAACCCATTTACCCTCGATCCCATTTGCCGGTGACGCGGTCGAAATCCCGTGACGGGATCGATATCGAATAACGCAACCGGGAATACTAACGGTGTCTTATAGGGCTCCTTGTACCACAGCGGATACCCCGAGGGATTCTGCCTACCGCCGTCGGGAATCGAATTCTCGGTCGGCATTGAATGCAGCCTGAAATGCGCCGGCTCCACTGTCTCTTCTAATAAAGCGGACACTTGTCGCGCGTAATCCTCCGTTCCCGCTGTTCGCTCTAATCTGCGGAACGTCGACACGTTACTCTTGTTCTACAGCTCGTTTCACCGAGCCCAGCTCTCATTTACGCGGACGGGCGACGGGTGCTGCTACTGGTTACAAGTATTCCAACGCCTGTTAAAACGCGCCGACATTTTTCGAAACTTGACCAGATGTACTGATCTTTTTTTTATGTTAAAGCGACTGTTTTTCGGTTCGGGTTCAGATAAGAAAGCTAGACAGCAAGAGTTCGTTTATTCTTGTTTGGTCACTTCAAGCGATAGCAAAATTAAAACAAGGTACAATAATGTCTCTCTAATCGACGCTCAGATTGTCCTCAAAAGTGGACAATTTGGGAAGAGGAGATACGATTATTCGAGTCTCGTGACTCATTTTTATAGTTACGAATTGTCAAGAACTATAAAAACGAGCTTCAAGACTCGAACAATCCTGTATCTCCTGTTCCCGAATTGTTCATTTTTGTGGACAATCCGAACATCGGTTAAGGAGACATTACTGTATTTTAGTCATTGTTCAGTAAACATTAGAAAACCCTTCAGACCAGCTTTAAAAAAAGTTATTGCTTTTTATAAGACGTTCGAATACTTTCTACCGAGGGCTGCATTTGCTTCTGGTCGAACTCGACGGTGATTTGTCGATTGAAAAAATTATATTGCATCGGATCCGTTGCTATAGCAATACATACATTTCGGACGCAGCGATGCTGTCAGATAATGAGCATTATTTGCTTTAGAGCACCCGGCACGACTCGACTCGCTGAATTCTAGATCGGTATCGTCCCAAAGAATCCTGTTCCTTTACTTGTGAACCATCTGTCGAGTGAACTCCAATCTCGGCGTGGTCCGCGTGGGCTGCGGGACAGGGTTCGGCGACCCCTGAATTTTCCCGGGTCGAGGCTTGTTTGCGCACTCGCTGACGCCATAGAAATTGCCGAAATGCACCGCCGCGTCCTTCGGAAGATTCGGGCTCAATCTAGCGTCTTTCGAGGCTGTCGACGAGGCAGCGTTCTCATCCGTACCCGGCGAGCTCCTCGAAAACTGATACTTCTGCTTTCTCGCAGCGATCCTTGAAAGGTAATAATCGTACATTAAGGTAATGACGGCTCGATAGGCGAGGAGATGTTAAACCGGGAGCGAGCCTGCGTATAGCAGCTGCTCGATATTCCCTCTACAGGCTCGTTTGTTCTCCGACGAGTTCATTGAATACCTCTGCTGGAATGTCTAGCACGCCGACGGCCGCGGGGGTCACCTATGACCGGCGCTCGACCGGCACCGTGGGAGACGCCGGCGACCGTCGGGCATTAAATTAATTGCTGCCGGAAATTCGACGACGATTCCAGCTTGGTCGCGGCGTAGAGATCGTTCGCGAAACAGAGACGACGACGGGGCTTTTTCACAAAAATTATACAGAGGAGTCGATTACTCTCGGAAATGGATGATCGCGTAAAGATCCGTGGTCTAGCAGCGAGAATGGTTGAAGTAGGCCACTATTATTCAGGTTAATTTTGCCCGCGATACCTGTCGTCCTCGATTGCACACGACGTACTAATTTTTTCCCCCGACGTAATTAAGGCCATCGCGTCTGTATTTTTACGATCAAAGATCAAGGATTCGAAGCGGAATAGGATCCGAGGGCAGATTAGAAATACTGCGAGGAAGACGGTAATTGTATCGCGCGCATGACCGAGCAGTGTTACGCAAATATTCATGAGCGTGTATAGATCACGAGAGTTTCGCAAAATTATTAAATCGCGAGCGAGCGTGAGGCAAATTGAATCGCGTTCTAACTCATTTCTCCCGTTCGGCCGGGGCAATTACCGTGGAAATTATATTTCACTTTGGCCGTGCTTCCTTGATATCCGTCCGGAAAAAGTGGGAAGCTCGCATAAACATTCGTGGTCTAATGATAACGTCGGCTCGGTTAAGTAATTTCATATAATACCACGTCGTTATAGATACACCGCCGCGTACTGGATGTATCGTTCTAGCATGAGAAAACGATAGGAAAACCGGCCTGCATTCATCGCATTAGCTAATTTACGCCCGAGAGACTGAGATTCCTCGCAATCTTCTCTCGGTACTTAAGGAACACATGATCCGTGGCGCAGTTACGATCGGTTAACGCGAATAATCGTCTCGTATTAATGGCTATTCAGATTTCGTTGCAAATCCACCGCGAAGCTATCAAATTAGTCGTTGGAAGTTCAGGGATTGTTCTTCGCCGTTGAAAAATCGCGCGCGTTAATTGATACGCCGGTAATCAGCCATCTATTAATCGTCCGGCGCTAATCAGCGCCGGAGTTGCGTTAGCAACCGTTGCGAGTCTCGTTAACACGTTCGCGATCGACTCGCTGTAAAGCTTCGTTGTCTGGAATCCTCTTAGAAGCTCCCAACGAAATTCAGACGGCGCGAGACTCTCGGGAGAAAAATTCATTTCCGCGGTGCGGGTAGAAGAATCGTGTCACCCAGATGCAACGAACGGGTTCCGCGACCGCGGCGGAACGAGCGATTACCCGTGAAATGGCTTGAAAAATCGCGGGCTGTCGCACCGGAGGTTCTAATCGAGCCGTGCCATTTTATTCGGTCGAGATCGACGCGTATCCGTACCGTAACGGGGCATTTATTTCCGTTACGTTCCCGGAAAACCGCGTCGGCCGACGGGCTGCTGCGTCGCTCGATTCATCGTGACAGGCAATTTGCGCGGAATTACAGGTGAATATAGGGAGCAGCGCGCGGTCGGGTGTCGGAAGAACCTTATGAAAGTCGTCCGTCGTGTATCACCTGTCGACGACAATCGTCGCCGATGAATTATTCATTCGCGCGAATCACGGGCCGCGGATCCAGGCCGCTGCCGTGCCGGCGCAAACGGATTATGCAAAAGTTTACAATTTCCTGTCCGTCCGCCGAGCGGACGCGTTCAGAGACATGCTAATGGCCGTACGAAAGGGCCGATGGTAATTGACAACCATTGTCGACCACTTTTACGAACGGGAACGTCATAGAAAATCAAACGGAAATACGCTCGCAACCTAGGCGTTTTGAATTTTTTTTTGCAAAAGACACGCGGTACCGTGGAATCGATTCCTGTGGGTCGAGGGGCAAGGCTTCTGGATGACTAGCATAACTTTTTTGCTGGAAACTGTTGATTATTGTCGGTTCTACCGGAGATCTCTCTCAGTATTGACATTAATTTTTTAAAGAATCGTTGGGTTTTGTGGGATCAATTTTTTGGGAGATGGGATCTTCGAGCGACTACCATAATTTCGTCGTTGAAAAATATTGCTCTAAGATCAGCACAATTGTCTATCTACAGCTAAATCGTATTCTATTCGAAACATCGAGGCAATTTTTCCACGACGATAAACTTCAACGAAGTAAAAAGAATTCTTCGGAAAGCTGACAGAGCATAACCTCTAGGGGAAATGTTTCGCTCGAACATCTCCGGTACTATCGGAACGTATTCGCTGTACAAGACCAAAAGTAAAGGTGGATCGGCGAAGACCACAACCGCAAAGAACTCGATTTCCTACCCCGGTACGTCAATCGAATTTCGGGGAGAGTACCGCAGCCATTTCGGCCACGCCATGGACCGTGACCGTGAGCGGCCCGCAGACACGCACCAAATCCAATTTCCCGAATTCGGTCTCGATCTCGATCGCTAACCTGCGAAGCTTCCCGGCGAACGAAGGCGACGGGTGTAGGTTAATCGGCGCGGCTCCGTGATCCTCGGTGATCCCAGTGGAGGATTTCACTTTCGTCTTCTTGAACATTTTCTCGACGGGTCTGGAACCGTCGAATCCTCTTCGGGAAAACGCGATTTCTGCGGCGGTTCGGCGCGCGCGGACCGTGAAATTTACGAGACTTCGCGTTCCCTCGGACCTCGAGGCGCGTTTTGACCGATGCAATCGCGTTGATTTATTCCACGAGCGGGCTCTCGTCCGGCAAAGATTTCCGGTGGCCGAGCACTGCCACCGGCGGAGTCATGGTTGCGAGATTAATCCCGGGACACGCGTTCACCGCGAACGTTTTAACGGAATTAGATTGGTAGGTGGTCCGCGGCAATCGTTCTAATGGCGTTACATCGATAGAGGATACGCGCCATACACGCGTTCTTCCTCTTTTTTCTTCTTCCCTTTTTCCTGTCACGGACAGCGAGCGCGGCTCACCGCAATTAACCGCAACACCGTTTCGATGGTTCGTCCGGGATTACCAGGAAGTTTATTCTGGACTCCTGGAATCCGATACAAAACGGCCGTAGGATCGGTCGTTTTCTTCGATCGCGGTTTCGATCGACGCAGACCGTACTTTTCCGTGAATTAATGCGCGAGTCGATTTTTAGCCGATGAGATACGTTGGGTCGGACACCGGACTACTTTACATAAATTTAATCTTCTTCAATTTATCGCTTATCTTGGCTCTGATAACGCGGTTTCGAAAGAAACTGGTCTGGGTGCAGCATCCTAGAACGATACAGGCGCGTCCCGATACGCGCAGGTACATTATTTTTCGTGCTATGGAACACGGAAGATGCAAAAAACGAAGGAATTTCCTATTAGCTTATGCATGCGGTAGACGGCAGGGGTGTTCGCATACTCGATATTGTAATTAGAAGACTGAGGATCGTTATGCAAATAACGAGTTTTCTTCATTTACAGTGGGCAGCCCCATTAATTTTTATTTAATACGCAGGTTTCCTTCTACGGGATTTCATAAACTTCGCGAGGCGAACAAATCGTAACGGAAGCGGGAGAAATCATGGCGAGGTATTTCATATCCGAGTAACATATCGTTAAAGCGTTTTTACATAATAATAACAGCATACCGAAGTGGATCGGATCGGTCGATCTGTTCCGCGTGGCCGAACAAAAGCTTCCGCCTGGGCCACCGTTCCCCAATCTTCAGAAAAATCGTGTGCTCGTTGAGGCAACGACGCGAAATCCTTTTGTTCCTCTCTTCGTTCGTTCCTCCGATCTTCGAGCATCCGAGACCTCGGAACCAGGATAAATTACACCCCGTTCGCCGAGAGATGAATGTTGCTAAACGATTCGCTCGCGCGCGTGTCGCGCGGAGATTTCGCGGAGTGGAAAGGTATCGCCATCGTAAACCACGTTGTCTCGTTTTTATGACGCGTATCAAGAAGTAACGAAGGGAAGGGTGGGGAAACGGGTGGACACGTACCCACCACCGTACAGTCGAATACACACCGCAGATAAAGGGGATAGAATGGCGGTGCGGCGGTGCTTATTTACGATCGAAGGAGAGCGAGGAGAGCGCGGGAGAGGGCGAGAGGAGAGGCTCGAATTCGTGCGCGGCGCGAGAAAAGGGAGCAAAACAGCCTCGCCGGACGCGGAGCGATGCATATCTTATGCACGTGCCTCGAGAAAAAGAAAGGGGGCTCCTGACGCGGCTACCAAATTATTTATTGGCCACGCTGCATCGAGAAATGCTAAATATTTCAGAGGGTCAAATGGCCCTCGCGATTCCTGCCACTCGCGCTTGCCGGGATTCGAACCTGCACAGCTCCGCAATCTTTCTTCCGAACACACGTTCGAACATTTCGCTCGGCAAACATTTCCTCGCCGCATTTCACGCTTCTCCACCATTTCAGATTTCTCGCTTCGAGCAGCTGCGCGAGAACTAGGCGGTTCGTTTACTCGTTACTGCAAGCCACGTGCAGAAATTATTTGTCGAATTCTTCGAGCGCAACGCGTGTCCAACGCGACTGCCATTATTATTCCAACGTTTGCCAGCTCTGTTACAATCGGCGTCCTTTTCGACGTACACTACGGTCCGCCAGCGATCCAAAAACGCAACGATGCCGTGTCGATCTTGCGGAAACGATACCAATTTGAATCGAGATAACCGCGAATCTTAAATATTCCTCGAAGCCGGCAGAGCTAGCTCTTCCACCTCCTCTGTCTATCCACCGACTTCGCTTCGAACTGCCGGGGCAATATCTAAGAAAATGACTCCGAGTAATGGCAGTAATCTCTCAAGCCGAAGGAAAAAGTTCGTCCGAGTGAATGAACGTTTTGAAAAGGAAAGCTGCGCCGGCAGATAAGAAACTGGAATAAGTGTTTCCGCGATGGAACACTCTCGCGGTTTATCGTCCAATTTACACAGAGGCTTCACCTTCGGCGAAGACGCATTTCCCGACGTTCTCAGGGGCATCTTGCCGTTGCAGCGAACGCGTCGATCGCGGCATAGTCGAGCGCAACAGAAACTTGAACAGTGTTCCTTTGACGGAGCGCTCCTTGTGGCCCGGTTTTCCTCCGCATCTGCGATCCCCCGTTACGTAAACGCGTTGCGAACGCGGAATTTACACATAAAGGGCTCGCGTGTTTGCACGAGCGGCAGACCCGGGTCGCGACGTCGTCGTCCCCACGTAATGCTGCGTCCTGCTGTCAGTAGGTTTTAATTACTCGCGCGGCGCCCGGTGTAGCCCAGCTGCGCTCGACAATTATAGGAGCCGGTAATAAAAGCTGCTCGCGGACGGCCGCTTTGAAAAGTGATCGAGCAATCGGTTGGTCTACTGTTGCGGCATCGGTATCGGCATCGGCGTCGTCGTCGTTGTCGTCGCCGTAGCGCAGAACGCGAGAACGAGCTCGCCGAGGGAGGTCCTTTGATCGCGATGAAATTCCTCGGCCCAGCACTTTTGCAGGTAATACGCCTTGAAAAAGGAATGACACCCAATGCGCGCTGATTGGATTTGTGATTGGCCGACTTCGGCTCGGTTCCTCCGCTGAAAAACTATAAAAAACCGTTCGTTTTTTCGTTGCTCCACCTCCCGACCAGTTTAATTAAACTTCCTCCGGCCGACACCTCCCCGGTTCCTCCCCTAAACACGATCTTATACTTGTAACCCCCGTGCTACATCGTCGCGGAGCAAATGCGACACGAGTCCTGCTACTTCGAGGCATTTCCGAGATCTGAGATTCGCGCTTTTTGCACCCGGCGAGAGATAAAGTTTGATGAACGAGCCCGCGGACGTAAAATAAATTATTTTCTGGAACTGTGTTCATCAGAAATTGACACAGCTGAGGAAGTACAAAAGTTGAAATGGGGTTGCTCGAGATCCAGGAGAGAGATCTTTGCTTTTTCCGTCCAGCGAGAGCTAAAGTTTGATGGACGATCTCGTAGACATTGTTTCGAGAAACTGATAAATTATTGTACCGAACCGTGTTCATCGGAAATTCGTTCATTCGAGAGAGTTCGGTTTGCTTCGAATTAATACGGAATCGAATTGAAATAAGGTTCTCGGAGATCTAGAAACGTGTCTGGCTTTTCGCCGCGAGACCCGAGTTTGATGAACCCTCGAAGGACGATCTCACAGCCGTCGCGTTCGAAATGCAGTAAATAATCTCTTTCACTTCCGATTAAAATGCAATCCGACATCTCGATACTTTATTATTAATCCTGTACCGTGCAATAACTGCAAAACTGGAATTCTCAATTGCTGGGATCTGTGTAAATGTATGCGTACGGATCATAAATAATTTATTCGCATATCGATTCATACAGTCGCGATAAAAGTCGATAAATAAAGTTCGTGTCAATTTGCATATTCTAGCTGGACGCGTTCCGGAATGCAAGGTGCGTTTGTTACAGCGATGTTATCGGATTGTACGTATGATAGAGACATCGTTGAATAGCACGATGCAAGTATTATTCATGTTCTTGACTCCGTTACAGATACACACACACACGGATGTACGCAGCGAGAATGCACCGTGAACGTGTACTGTGGGAATCTCTCCGTGTTCTCGTTTCGTGTATTGCAGGCCACGCTGCATTGGCCGCGAGGAACGAAGGCTGCAATCTTTTATGATACGGACACCCTCAATTTTCTTTTATTCGAAAATTGCTCTATCAACTATGTTTCCTTCGGTTACGGTCTAACGCTTTTCGTGTGTTTTCTGGAGAGGCGATCGACGCATGGGAATCAGTATTTTGCTCCGGTCGAGTTGTTATTCATTTATAGATACGATACACTTTCTAGTTACTAGCTTCTGATATTTTCAATTCTATTTTTAGGGCAAGTTCTCCTGATTGCTCGGAAAAATTAAAACCAGGGTAGGTAAAAGGTCGATCAATATTTCCAAATTTTCTTTCATCATTTTTCTCTTATTAAAATTATTAAGGAATTTTTGTCTCGATCAAATCGGTAAGCACTGATATCAGAATAAATCGTTTGAATGGAAAATGGAAGTTCCACTTGGCAATTAATTGACTTTGCAAAATCAACAGTGTTTCGGTTATCGAGTGGGCCGCAGCGATTAAATCCGCATCGAGATTGGCAAAGGGGAACTTCGAGTTATTATCTTTCCATCGCGTCGATGCCTCCGATAACGAAATCATGCGTCTCGCTTTTCAAGAATAATCAACGAGAGAAGAGAAACCACGCGGGGGGAACGAGGTGACGTTTCGTAGGTACGTGTCTACAAGGCACTCGAAATCTTTTCAGTGTTGTTACAGCAAACACCGCTCGAGGCTCGTATTTGCCAATCTTAATTAGGGATAAAACGGGGTAAGGGTTGGAAACGCTTGGGGGTCGCGGGTTGACAAGAATCGGCTTTTCGAACGCGACTTCGGGCGTCTTCGGCGGTTACCGACGCTCTTCGTGGCCACTCTTAACTCGTGCTCGTGCTGGCTCGAGTCAGTCGTTGACGCGCGCTCGTTTCGATTGCATCGGGTATTAAATGGTGCTCGTATCTCCGCAACGAACGTTTCCCAGTTCGTCTCTGATGTAAAAGTCTGGTGTGCTTGTCCCGTATTCTCGACGAAACCGTTCCTCATCATGCGTGCGATCACGAGGTAAGAACAATAATCGATCCACGGATCCTCTGAATCGTTCTTCGCTATTGCTCGCGATTTTTCCTCGAACCTGTACCGGTGTTGCTTTCGTTTCGACCGTTTCCTGGAATTTCTATACGGTCACGGTTGCTTCGTGTCTCGCGTAGTTTCCTGTCTACGAAAATCGCTTCGTCCTGTCTGGCCGTTGAAGATAAGATTAGGACTCGGCTTTCACGACGTATCGCGCTTCCATTGGAGCACGGGACTCGGTTTAATCCTCGGTGACACGTTGACGAGCATTTAGCTGATAGTTGCTCCATTCGTAGCCGTGAGTCGGGGGAGTACTTTTATCCTTGCTAGCGGCGAGTATCGAAAATCCATAACGGACCGGCCATATAATAAATCGTCCGGGACGCCGTGCGGCTCCCAATAAAATTTCATTCGCCGGTGAATGGCTCGAGTATCGACCACGCGCTCTATCCCGTTCCGCGACTACCATATTTCCTTTTTTTTTATCCTTTTTATCCCATGGTGCGAGGATACGAGAGAACGGTACAGCAAATATTTGCGGGAAGAATCGCCGATTGAATTTGTTGTACTCGTACCGTCGAATCGTCGAACGGCGCCGCATCCTCCGTATCCCAGCGCGGTCAATATTGACTATCTCGCTCGAGCCAAAGCACATCGTAATAAATTATTGACTTCACGGAACCAGACGAGACCATGAAAGTCCTGCAGTGATCCGCATTAACCGTACGACCTATCCGCCCCGATGTAACCGACTCCACTATTTGCCATAAGGCTCGGAAATTATGTGTCCCATAAATCATCTTTATGCCGGGATTATCGTCGCCAGGGACGTGCGAGGTCCGCGAGACCCATCGACGTTTGCGAATCGACCGATCCTAAATGATGATTCCTAAGGGATAACAACCAAAGGAGATGGTTCCGCGATTCTCTCGCATTACGAACCTCCTTATTTGCGGTCTGGCCGTAATTTAACAGTCTTTATCCTCGCCAGCCTGCGCTCTGCTTCTCGTCTAAATACTTTTCAATGCGCTTAGAAAATGCTGGATTTATTGCTGTAATTTCTCAGCCGCTTAAACTCTCCGGGCTTCGAGCAATTTCGAATTAATCCCTTGGTTTACGGATCGAAGACGCACTCCGTCTCGCCACTGCTTGCTTCTTATCTTATCGTTTATGTAGTAAAGTCAACGTGGAACATTTCTGCGAATTATAATGAGACTTGTAGATAGGACAATTAGACTCGTTTATTGTATTGTACTGTATTTGTATGCCAAAAGGTTGATTGATTTCGATAGAATGCGATGTTCAAGATGGACAAGAACATCTTGCGGCGATAAAAAGATTCTTATGCGAATCTTTATTACGCTTAAAGGGTCGAGAGATTTTTGTTAGGAATTAGTGACGGAATCGTTCTTCATCGTTGTACCCTCTCAATTGCGGACACGAGTAGCTTGAGTAGGTACGTACTTCAAACTAGTTTCTGATTTCTTCAAGGATTCTTTCGTGCTTGAGACGACTGCACGTGTTCCTCTTTCCTGAAATCCACTTTAAGAGCAATTCAACCTCTGGAACAGTTTCGAAACCGAATCCGTTCGCGAACGATACGCATTCTGGTTCCATTTAGAACGCCCACAAAACTTCGAGCTCGAAGGCGAGAGCTCCCTTGACAAATAGAAGGTGTATCGATCATGTGCGTNTCGTGCTCGTGCTGGCTCGAGTCAGTCGTTGACGCGCGCTCGTTTCGATTGCATCGGGTATTAAATGGTGCTCGTATCTCCGCAACGAACGTTTCCCAGTTCGTCTCTGATGTAAAAGTCTGGTGTGCTTGTCCCGTATTCTCGACGAAACCGTTCCTCATCATGCGTGCGATCACGAGGTAAGAACAATAATCGATCCACGGATCCTCTGAATCGTTCTTCGCTATTGCTCGCGATTTTTCCTCGAACCTGTACCGGTGTTGCTTTCGTTTCGACCGTTTCCTGGAATTTCTATACGGTCACGGTTGCTTCGTGTCTCGCGTAGTTTCCTGTCTACGAAAATCGCTTCGTCCTGTCTGGCCGTTGAAGATAAGATTAGGACTCGGCTTTCACGACGTATCGCGCTTCCATTGGAGCACGGGACTCGGTTTAATCCTCGGTGACACGTTGACGAGCATTTAGCTGATAGTTGCTCCATTCGTAGCCGTGAGTCGGGGGAGTACTTTTATCCTTGCTAGCGGCGAGTATCGAAAATCCATAACGGACCGGCCATATAATAAATCGTCCGGGACGCCGTGCGGCTCCCAATAAAATTTCATTCGCCGGTGAATGGCTCGAGTATCGACCACGCGCTCTATCCCGTTCCGCGACTACCATATTTCCTTTTTTTTTATCCTTTTTATCCCATGGTGCGAGGATACGAGAGAACGGTACAGCAAATATTTGCGGGAAGAATCGCCGATTGAATTTGTTGTACTCGTACCGTCGAATCGTCGAACGGCGCCGCATCCTCCGTATCCCAGCGCGGTCAATATTGACTATCTCGCTCGAGCCAAAGCACATCGTAATAAATTATTGACTTCACGGAACCAGACGAGACCATGAAAGTCCTGCAGTGATCCGCATTAACCGTACGACCTATCCGCCCCGATGTAACCGACTCCACTATTTGCCATAAGGCTCGGAAATTATGTGTCCCATAAATCATCTTTATGCCGGGATTATCGTCGCCAGGGACGTGCGAGGTCCGCGAGACCCATCGACGTTTGCGAATCGACCGATCCTAAATGATGATTCCTAAGGGATAACAACCAAAGGAGATGGTTCCGCGATTCTCTCGCATTACGAACCTCCTTATTTGCGGTCTGGCCGTAATTTAACAGTCTTTATCCTCGCCAGCCTGCGCTCTGCTTCTCGTCTAAATACTTTTCAATGCGCTTAGAAAATGCTGGATTTATTGCTGTAATTTCTCAGCCGCTTAAACTCTCCGGGCTTCGAGCAATTTCGAATTAATCCCTTGGTTTACGGATCGAAGACGCACTCCGTCTCGCCACTGCTTGCTTCTTATCTTATCGTTTATGTAGTAAAGTCAACGTGGAACATTTCTGCGAATTATAATGAGACTTGTAGATAGGACAATTAGACTCGTTTATTGTATTGTACTGTATTTGTATGCCAAAAGGTTGATTGATTTCGATAGAATGCGATGTTCAAGATGGACAAGAACATCTTGCGGCGATAAAAAGATTCTTATGCGAATCTTTATTACGCTTAAAGGGTCGAGAGATTTTTGTTAGGAATTAGTGACGGAATCGTTCTTCATCGTTGTACCCTCTCAATTGCGGACACGAGTAGCTTGAGTAGGTACGTACTTCAAACTAGTTTCTGATTTCTTCAAGGATTCTTTCGTGCTTGAGACGACTGCACGTGTTCCTCTTTCCTGAAATCCACTTTAAGAGCAATTCAACCTCTGGAACAGTTTCGAAACCGAATCCGTTCGCGAACGATACGCATTCTGGTTCCATTTAGAACGCCCACAAAACTTCGAGCTCGAAGGCGAGAGCTCCCTTGACAAATAGAAGGTGTATCGATCATNGGATTCGGAGGAAAAATGTTGGATTTACGATCGATGGGCGGTGGCAGGATCGCGCGCTGACAAGAGTACAAATTTCCATAAGTGTATCGTAATTTGACGCTTACCTTGGCCGTGCAAGTGCACCGTGCACTGTGCACTTTTCCGTCGGTCCGACGGCACTCGATACGCCGTTCGGAAGGGTCGCCCACGCACTGTGACACACACGAACCTACACACAGAGATTTTACACGCTCGTGCCGTTGTGGTTGTGTTCCCTGTGTGTTCGTCGGCGATTTACGGTAAGGGCACCGTCTGCTTTGTGTGTTAGTCACCGACCATGGGGGGTGCGAGAGACTGGCAGGACTCTGTCAGAGGGGAGGCGAAAAGGGAATGAGAAAGTGAGAGAGAGAGAGAGAGAGAGCGAGTGGGCCGAGAAAAAAAGAAGCAGAAAAGCCAGAGGAAGAAAAGGTGGCACGCAGACACATGCGAGAGCACGATCGAACGAGCCCGCGTGCGCATTCGTGTTAAACAGGCTCAACGTGTTTACTTTTGCATACACGTAGCTGCGCGTTAAGAGCATAACCATCTCTGTCGCGGATTATTACACCGTCGATGGAGTCTCGCGTCGGTTCCCCGTGTTTTCTGTCCTTTTTCCACGGTGCCAGCAGAAGAGACCCCGTCCAAACCCTCCGAATTCGATTTCGCGCCGCGATTCTCTTAATTGCGAATCGTCCCTCGGCGGTCGAATCGATTTCAAGGATATCGTTCCGGGAAGAATAGCGTTTTCGTGGTTCGAGAAATACGGAACGACCCGCGCGGTTCGACGCCGACGGTCACGGACACGGCTGCTGTCTCTCGCGGGAATTAACCCCTGGTGGTGTCCCCTGTTCGGGGTCAATCTGCCGCCAATTTAAAATTTCATTCGTATCTTTTCGCGGCGTGCTAATTTTTTAATGAATTTTCTACGGGTCCGTGAATCTCTTCCGTGATTTCATCCTCCTCCGCCGGCACCGTTCGTGCCAATGTAATTAAAAATTTCAATTAGGAATTTGACGAGCTGCGCGGGCTTTCGATGGAATTATGCAAGCTTCGCACGCTACTCTTAACTGTGGCTGTTTATCTGAAAATCTTGTCCGACGATTCAAGATTTATTCGTGGATACTCGGGCCCGAAACTGTACGTACTCGTTACAACTGTTTCGAAATGAATTTTACATGCCGACGCGCGTAAGTACAGTAGATCTCTCGGCTGCAATTTAACCCTCGCGTATAATTCTTCTCCGCGATCTGACCCAAATCTGGAATTTCGACTCGTTAGAAAGATTTCTACATGAATTTTCCACGGCTGGTCCATACATACGTTGTTGCGGAACAATGGACTTCCTTGATTAAACATTAATATAAATCCGCCTCTCGTTGCGGTATCAACGGAGAGCAATTAACCTGTTAATCCCGAGCCATCTGCTAACCCGACAACACAATAGAATCGGCGACGTTGCATTATATTTATGAGCCCGTAATTGAACGAGGCACAGATTTTTCAAAATCCTAATTGATTGAATGAATAGGAATCTTATAATCAAATTCTACGCGCATACGTTGCGAAATGATCCGTCTACTTTATGCGGATCTTCGAGAAGATTTGCTTTTAAAATCATGCTTATCCCCGTGCGGCCAGCCAAGAGTTAACCGGTTGATTTTCCGGTTAATAACACTCGCATGAGCCCGGCTAAGCATGAACGAAAATAATTCACTTCCTTCATTAAAGTCTAATATTAAACCAATGCGAGCTACAGGACGTGAAAGTCTCGAGCTTTACACGGTCTTCGCGATGCGATTCTATATCGCTGCTCGTGTACGATTTCAGTAAGAATCATAAAAGACTCGATTAAAATTTACAATAAGGTAATTAAGATTTATTCTACGGCGTTTGTTCGGCAAGAAATCACTCCGAACTTCTAACACCGACCGACCTTGGATCTTAGGAGATCCAAACGACGGTCGATCAATTAAAACAAGCGTGGAAAGAAATTAATGCGATCCCGAGGATCCGGTGGCACCATCGCCCGAAATAATTCCCCGCGAATGAGACACGTGCGATCTAGGCCACGGACGTTTAAAACCTCGAGTTCCCGCGATCCAGGATCGATCGATCCCAAGCCGTGCCCCGAGAGAGCCAGCCTCCGAGAGGCTAACTGTAAACCAAGTGGCCAGGAATTTGCGCGTACACGTTAATACATCTGACAAACGGCTGCGGCCGGGCAGCTACCATTTCATCGTGGCGTCTAGATTTATTTATTTATCAACGGCGACCATGGTCCCCGGCCTTATGGCCCCCGGGTAAAAATACCGCGCGTCTTCGAAACGCTGGTACGTGTTTGCTTTCTGCCGGGTTACGACCATTTCCAGGCGGCAGGTCTATTTGTCGAGGGACCCTCTTTGCCGGAGGAGGGCCGCGAAGGGAACCGAGGGGTGCCGGTTCGATTGGGACACGCGATATATTACGTGCTCGGCACGTACGTGCTGACTGGTTCGCACATAAGTAGACACAGGCATAAATAGCCGAGCGGACGCGTGTGGAGACCCGTGTGTACGGAGACGTTGCAACACGGTGCGCGTCGAGAGACCAGCTCGTAGAGTACACGGGGAGGGTTGAACAGAGAGGAAGAGGTAAGAGGAAGAGGAAGAGGGAGGTCGAGCCAGGAGGATGATCGGCACGTGAGCAATTCGAGCACGCGCGTTTTAACGATTTCTGACGTTTCTAATTCTTCCTATTCCCTCCGTCTCTTTCTCTCTCTCTCGGGCTCGCGATCGTAACCGGCCGGCTTCCTGGTTAGCAGCAGTCAAAAGACCTCTCGACCGACTATAAACGGCCTTTAGAGAACCGAGGAGCGATCCCACCCTTTGATTCTCGGAACCTCTCGTGTCCCGTTTGCCAATTCTTTTTTACCCGGGAGACACGCTCCTCCTCGACGAGCCTAGCTCGATTAGCATGAAGGAACGCGTCTTCTGATGCAACCACCGTCGCTGCCTTACACGGGCCGATCCTTTTTTCGTCAGCTCCGGGTCTCGGGACCTCTGGCATTAGAAACGAGAGGCTAGAGCTTTGTATCCTGCCGGATAGAGTCTACCGTCTCGGAGCTCTGGGGTTCAGCGTTCAGAAATCTTGGAGCTGTGGGGTTTAGAATACTAAAAGTTCAGTGCATGGATCCGTATGGAAGTGTAGAATTTTTGAAGCATTTAATCCTGGAAGTCTAGAATCCTAGAAACATAAGGAAGTGTAGAGGATGTTGAAAGTCTAGAGCTCGGAATCATAGAATCCTAG